TTCAGGTTCGGGAGTCGTGGTCCATTCAGGTTCCGAAGTCGTGGTCCATTCAGGTTCGGGAGTCGTGGTCCATTCAGGTTCTGAGGTTGGCGGAAGTGTTGTCGTTTCACTGTGTGGCTTACACCCTGCATGTGCAGGCCAATCGCATACTTTCTCCACAGGGTTGAAGAGAAGTCCTGGAGAGCACTTCATCAAATACGGTGTGCCTCCGTTGCATATATAAAAGGTTGTACAGTCTAACGGATTTGGAATCAAAGTAACCAATTCTTCATTCTCTGGTGGACATGTTACAGCTTCGCTATTATGAACGAAGGTCACGAAAGCCGTGAGAATCGTTACTGCAAGTATGGCTGAAAATGTTAAAATAAGTCTTGTTAACTATATACGAATCGTGCAATTTCTGGACTGCCTACATTCTACTAAAAATATTTAACATACTGCATTGAAGGTTTTCATTCAATAAGTTTCTTGGAATTAATTACAAATGAATACTTTAAATTTTAACAATTGGACTGCCTAGTCTCTTTAATACAGATTATTTCTTGATATATTCCAAAGAATTTAAAATATCATGTCCTAAAGTATGGAATAATAAAGAGTAAATATACTTGTAAAATCAATGAACTTTTTAGACATTTTTTGGCTGATTTTGTTAGTATTTCTCAAAAGATACACATTTTAAGAATGTTCTGTTTTTTGAGGAAGAAATCGTTAGAATTGCTAGAGTTACAACTTCGTGCGTAGAGTAAAAAATACTGAGGAAATCGTATAGTAATCTGCAGAATTTTATAGTTTAATCTAATTACTAAGTATAAATATCGTCAGTTTTCGTTAAAGATAAAAGTACGTTCGTGTGATGGAAGCATATTTGTAATATTTCAAGTCGAATAAATTCGTGAAATAATATGTGCGGAATACTGTAATAAAATTTCTAAACGTCGTTAAATAGAATATGATAAGCGTTCTTGTTCTAAATCGGACATTTCCATGAAATATTTATTATAACAGTAAAACAGCCTGTACCTTGTTCACTGTCAACGTGTATTCTTAATGCGTTAGTTATAAGTACGTTATGTATTCATTGAATAATACAAGATTTTTGTTTAAATTAATTGTTGTATTAAAGAGGTTACCTTTCATCTTGACTCCGCAGAGTAAAGCTCCGCCAAACGTAATCTTTTAGTACCGTGTTGCACCTCAGGCAAGATACAAATGTGCCACTGCGTTGATAGTTCCATATATATATATATATATTTGCTACAATTTTTATTACTATTGTAACCACCACCACCACTGATGTTACAATATCTTATAAGATTTCTTATCATTCTTACCATGACAGTATCATGTTGAGTACTTTTATGACGTGTCTGATATTCTACAAATGAACTATGACAGTCATTGACTACAAATGTAAATTGCCTACATTGGTTTAACTTTTTCAAAACTTTTGAAACATTTATTTAAGACTTTCGAAATGTATTAATTTGTGTCTTATATGTGAGCGTGGGTGTAAATGGTTTAGTGGATTGTAATCCAAGTCCATTTCAAGGCTTGAAAGCTGGAATAAAAACTGTATCTATCTATCTTGTGTCTTATATGTTATCTCAAATTCCTTTCATGTCATTTCTGTTCATCCATCTGAGTCACGGAAAAACTTTACTAACGAATTGGTTGTGTTCTTACCATATTACTCACGATCATTTCTTCATTCGTAGCATTACTGTCCTACTTTCTTTTAAGAGGCGCAACACTGTACAAGTTTTTTAAAATCGATCTTTGTATCGCATTTGTCAAAAGATACACATTTCAAGAATGTTATGGTACATTTTGAGAAAGAAATCGCCGTTGACCGAAAGCTACTGAAAGTATGATAGGATCTGCTGATGATCGAATGTTTGTTGTGTTCTTTTCAGCGTAACTCCTTAAAAGTACGACAACAATGCATTTTTTTACGTACTCGATTAATTAATAGGGATGCCTTGAGGGATAGTGGTACGCCAATAGAATTAGTCTCGGTACTCTCAAGGATCAAGTAGGATTTTTCAGACCGCAGAAAATTATCGTTTTGAGTTAAGGAGCATGTTTTGTGTTAACAGCATGACATACATATTATTTACATGAATATGTAACGTCTATCATACTTGTCTTTGCAATGCTGGCACTAATTGAACGTTTTATAACTGACTCACTTCATATGCGCAACGTATTTATTACATTCAGACGTACATAATTATTTGTTGTTAATCGTAATGTTATGAACAGTATAATTTTATGTTAAACATCTATTACTTTGGTAGGTTGTATTGTCACAGATTAGGTCGTAAGTTCAGGTACGAACGTAGTTTCGGGTGCGGACGTAGGTTCGTGTGATTCGGTCGTAGCTTCGGTTTCGGGCGCAGTTTCGGTCGTAGCTTCGGTTTCGGGCGTAGTTTCGGGTGATTCGGTCGGTGGGTTTTGCTCACAGTTTGCATGTTCGGGCCAATCGCATACTTTCTCCACGGGGTTGAAATGAAGTCCGGGACTGCACTTCCTCAAATACGCTACGCCTTTGTCGCATATGTAAAAGGTTGTACAGTCTAACGGATTTGGAACCAAAGTAACAAATTCTTCATTCTCTGGTGGACATGTTACAGCTTCACTTGTACGAACGATGGTCACGAAAACCGTGAGAATCGTTACTGCAAATATGGCTGAAAATGTTAAAATAAGTCTCGTTAACTATATACGAATAACGCAATTTTCGGACTACCCGCGTTATACTAAAAATACTTAACATATTCTATCTGCGTATGGAGTAATAAATTTTACGATAGATTTAACGCTTATGTTTAAAATGTTACAAATATATGTACTTTCATTAAGGAGATTGGGCAGTTTGCAATCCTCAAAATAAAGTCTTCCTTGAGAATTAATCACGAACAAATGAATACGGAATTAGGTTTTCTCTTTTACACAATATATTAATGTACTTTCGGGAGAAGAAAAATTCTGTTCGATAGTACGTATAATGTACACGTACGTGTGAGTATGTTATAAAACTTACAATTAGTTTTTGTAATGTTTGAGCTTAAAAAATAAAGATATAAACGTTTTCCCGAAGACAGTTCTTCTAGGAAACTGAAATTTCAAACTGAAGCCGAGAAATACTGTCGAGTAACTGTACTTTTTGAGAAAAGAATAAAACTGGTGGACAAATAATATTTCGTGATTTCATGACTATACGGACTATATGGGTCTATAGGGCAATAAACTTTACCGATAGATTTGACACTTATTTCTTAAACGTTATAGATATTTCTATTATCTGTCATATAAATCTGTCATAAGTCACCCGTATAAATTACTTTTTAATTCTACGAAGCAAGAACTACAATTACAAATGACAGGAAAAAGTTTACCTTTCATTGCGTCAACTGTTGTCTTGTCGTATCTCGATGCGTCAACCACTGCAAATGTACCACTAAATTGATTTACCTTCTTTATATACGTATTACACACTGTATTAATTTCCGCATATCAGAAGAACTAACAACTTATGTTATCACGTGTTACGGGAACTCTTATCAAAGTCAGTATGACAGTATCAGTGTGAGTAGTACTACATTAGTGTCCGTCACTCCACGTGCAAATCAAATGGATGTACAGAGACAATTAATAATTGTAAAATTTACAATTTTCCGAGTACACATGGATATCTCGAAATTTATTGTAAAATTTCTTTCAAAATTCTTAGATATATTAATATGTACCTTTCGTGGGATTTTTGTTCATACTCTACGTCTACAGTGTTTCAATGAACGCCACAAATTATGCTATAGTATGATACTGGAAGTATCAAAGTGTAAATGGATATTGATAATGATAAAACGAACAACATTTATTATAATTGATTCATATACAGTTTCTCGGTCTAAAATGCACACAAATTGAAAACGTAATGGTGGAACTACTCATTTGATTAGGTATCGATACGTATATTATTTCCGAATTATTGTATCTATTATACATACAAGATTATTTCTTTTATTATATTTATTATATATTTATTCTTTATTGCTTTTTTTTAAATTTATTTTTAATTTAAAACTTCATTTTTTTCTTGTGTCCGAAGTGAGTATATTGCGTTATCATACAGTAAGAACGTTTCTTCGTAAAACGTTCTTATTGTAAGTCGATTAATTGATAACTACTTCTATTAAATTTTCTGAAAAGACGACATCACAGCGTATTTTTAAGGAGATTTGTAATTCTACTATCAAGAAACGTTCACATTATCAGAAAGATACTAAACTAAAGACCATTCTTACGAGCACAGAAACGATTGCTTGCAATGGCGGAAAATTGTATAGCGAATATGAAACGATGTTAAATTGTTAAGTATGATATTTAAACGTCTATCTAAATTTATCTGTACGAATAAGATGCAGAATCGAAACGTACATTAAACGTATTATTACATCATGATTATTCTTTGAATACCTTTCGAGAATTTCCATTATGTTGCTTTAAATTAGCGTTATACTTTGCATTTTATTTGGTTCTGAATGACACAATGACGAAATAGTATTGCTATTATTATTAAAAAACGTTGTTATTATTAACGCGCAATCAAGATAATAAATTACTTAGTAAAGATTGTAGACATTTGCTTTTAATTTTTTACGAGAAGACTGTTACTCCGATTACAGGTATTTTCAAGGTTTCAAGAGCACGTTCATGTCTTTAAGTAAAATTATACTCCATATTTAAATTAAACGTGCAGCATATAAATTATTGTATACAGATATAAAGCATTATTATATTTCCAATAAGATAATAAAATCTAATGATTCTCGATTTCTTCTTTCAAATATAATACAATAGTAAGGAAATATACTCCAGGAAAATTTGTTTCATATAAAAAATCTATCTTAATCCCTTAATCACGTTCCGTTTATTAACATAATTTTGAATTATTCGATAGGAAAATAAAGCATTATGGCACTTCCATCAAGTTTATCGAATTCATTGAATAAATGTATATAAAATGCATAAAATGTGTCGGTGGCGCTATCTTACAGGAACGGTGAGAACTATCTTCATTACACATTTGGACATTTTTCCTACAAAATCCTTTAGTTACACATAACGCGCCATCTGCAGAATATTTATTGCAAAAGATTGCTTGTATAATTTGATTTGAAACATTTAAAACGTTTAAAATGGGAGTGAAAGATCTTTGGAATATACTGTCACCTTTATGCGAAAGGAAACCAATGTTTACGCTCCAAGGAAAAACAATAGCAATCGACATGAGCTGTTGGGTTGTGGATAGTCAAACAGTTACTGATAATTCAGCTCAGCCAAAAATGTATCTTAGGTTCGTCTCTTTCTTTTAGCTACATTTCAGTTGTATTTAGAATCAACAATGCTGAATCATTTTTTATTTGTTACAGGAATTTATATTTTCGTACGTCGTTCCTTCTTCTGCAAGGAATATCACCAGTGTTTGTGTTAGAAGGAAAAGCACCTAATTTAAAACATAATACTATAGCAAAGAGAAACGATGTCCGCGCTGGATTTCGGGAAAGAAAAACTGCACATAGAGGCGGGAGATCACAATTTAATAGGATTCTTAAAGAATGTAAAGAAATGCTTAAATACATGGGCTTAGCATGTGTACAAGGACATGGAGAGGCCGAAGCAATGTGTGCTTATTTAAATGAAGACGGGGTAAATACATATTTATAAGTATAGGACAATCCGAATTCTGTTTAATTCTTTCATTGGTGAATGTCTATATAGCTTGTTGATGGATGTATAAGTCAAGATAGTGACTGTTTTTTATATGGAGCATCCGTAGTTTATAGAAACTTTTGTATGAGTGCACAAGGAAATCGGGGAGGAACAGGGGGTGCTGTTGATGAATATAGTATAGATAAAATAAAGAATGTGTTACATATAGGGAGAAATAAAATGATAGCATTAGCATTATTATGTGGGTGTGATTACGATGAAGGATTGAATGGTGTTGGTAAAGAAGCAGCTATGAAACTTTTCAAAATTGTAAACGACGAAGACATTCTTGAACGGTATGTTATATATTATAAGTTTTAATAAATATTTTTATTGCAAAGATGCACAGTAAGTAATGTTATCTTTTTAGAATAAAAAGTTGGAGAACGGATAATAGTTTAGACCAGAAAGAAGCAGAATTATTATGTCCAAACATATGTTCATCTTGTGGTCATAGTGGTAAAGTCCAGAAACATGTAAAATCAGGTTGCATAGACTGTGGTACTGTCATAAAGTGTAATGATTCTTATAGGTAAATTTTTGTGTATTGTGTGTCATTTATTGAAAACACGTATAATATTTGACATAATATTTTTGTTTAGAGAGGAAAGGGCTTTAATATTAAATGAAATTGCTTTGAGGAAAAAAGCGCTTCTTGTAGAAGGTTTTCCTAATCAAGAATTGATAGATGAATTTCTCATTAGAAAAGACCCTGTGCCTAGTAAAATAGATCTTCAATGGAAGCAACCACAGATGAGTAAATTGATAGTAAGTTTTTATAGACTATTTTAGAAAAAGTCTTAAACATGTTTAGCAAGTTTATACATTAGTTTATATTAGGACTTCATGGAACAACACTTATCTTGGGAGCCACAGTATGCATTTGAAAAAATATTTCCTCTAGTGACGAGATGGCAACTCTTACATCTTCCTAATATAACTGCCGACGTTCGATTACTGTCTGATTTGTTCATTCCTAAAGCAATAAAAAAAATTCGAAATATTAGATCTGTTGCAAGTTACGAAATAATTTGGGAAACGGAGCACGATATAATACAAAAATTGAAAGAATATATTGCATTAAATAATGAAAACAGTGTCGATAATCCTGATATTCTATCTGAGTTAACAAGTATTGAACCGCAAAGTGCCGTATTGAAATGTTATCCAAAGATTATTGAAGACTTTGAAAATGCAAGAAGTGCGAAAACGAAAAAACGAACAATAAAAAAGAAAGCACAAAATGGCTCGAATTCTGAAGGTACTGCGAGAGGTACAACTAAAAGAAGGCAACAGAAAAAGACTGAAAAATGTCCTGGAAATGCAGAAAACACTAGGAAGATTGATGAGTTTATCTCCAAAATTGAGACGGTACCATTAGAAGAATCTTTTAGAAGAATGAGTATCACACCAAAGAGATCGAAAAAGTCGGATAGTCAGGTCGAAAACGAAAAAAAAATTGGTAAGGTAAAACGTGGACCTCAGTTTGATAAAGTGTTACAATCAGAAAAAATAAATTCAAAATTGAACGATACGTTGGACAGAATGTTTAATGAACTTTCGCCGGATGATTTTGTTAGTGATAATGATGATCAAGATTTAAATATGACAGAAATAATCGACAATATATGTAGTGAAAGAAGAAGGTTTGAATTTAATATTGTAGAAGATACAGAACTTTGTACAGATGAAAACATTTCCAATGTGAAAACTACTAAAGATTTTAACATAATCGATACAGAAATTGATGTTGAAACAAAATTTAACGACTTCCGAAAAAGTATCGTAAGTTGCGATCAAGTTGATGAATTTGCTAGTATAGATGAATCTTATGTACCCCTCAGTCAGAGATTACTCTCGTGTAATAATACAAAGGAATTGCAAAACATGGTTGCAGAAACGAATGAAAGTATAAGGTTTAGTTTTGGGTTTGATGATCTTATGAACGATACCAATCCGTAACATACACAAGTTGTTACAATGCATGTGATTAAAATAAACTGTTTTATATAAGGAGTATCGATTAAAAAACTAGAATATTATGAATTACTTTTGTAAATATACTATTTTGTACATAAAATATAGTTTAAGGTTGAATGAATATTTTATCTTTTTAAACATTTAAAAAAATTGTATTATACTTCACATTAGTACTTCATATTCTGTATGTGTGAAGTATCATTTTACAGTGCAATTATGTTAAATGTAGACTGCTGTAATAAACAAGTATCATTAATAACTTATACAAAATAAACTAAATGAAATAAAAATATGTATCACAAAAGAAATCAAAGTTCATTTATTCATAATCGATCGAATATTATTCCTACATTTATCTATAAGTCATTTACTTGTATCATTTACCGTGATAAAAAAATAGTACGACTTTTTCATTTAAATCCAAATTGTTATCTAAAAGTAATAGAAACAGAACAATAAATTTTTTGATAGACTAGAATACTCCATTCGGTTACTCTGTTATATTACCAATGTCACGAAGCGGTATAGTGTCATGTTTTGCAAACCAATGTTTCATTGAACTTCCGCAATTCTATAAATTACCATGTTGTCTCTGAAAGTATGCATCGATAATTCGAAATGCAAAATGCCAACCTGTACGCCGATTTGGCTGAAATATGGACAATGACGACAGTACAGTCCATGCATAAAGATACATGGCGTGTGATGGGAAATACATTGCGTTAAACCGCTCGCGTTGCTGGTCAGCACAAATATAATTATTGTGGTATATAG